CAATCTTACCTGGTCAAGATTGTAGATCTGCCAATATTCCCAGCGTGCTTTTCTCAAACTGGTAAACCTGTTACTTGTTAAGTGTGAATCGTCTACGGTCAACTGGTCAGCCCTCCAAGTGAAGTGTGTCTGGTCAATCTGTCAATCGTCCCAGTGAATTATTGCGTCTGGTCAGTATGTGAATTTTATTTGGCCAGTCTGCACAAGGAACAAGTGTAAATGGCAAACAGCTAGCAGTTTACAGTTTACAGTTTACACTCAACACTTACATGTTAAAATGCCCAATATCTATATGTGCTGAAGCTTGGTTACGCACATCAACTCATACTTGTATAGTTTAGCATTATGTTTTTATATAGCATATGGCTACTGAATTGTGCTTAGCGTATTAGCATATAGCATATGTGCGTGGCACATAGCATAAAACATACCTGGTGCATAATTGCGTAGCATATAGCATTTATTCTGCTTACTTGTATAGCATATAGCATATGGCTACTGAATTTGATTGTGCGAGCACAAGGCGCTGACGGCGCTGGCGCATTGACAACTGGACCACCTACAATCTCTGCAAGAGATACTACCGACGATTGCGATTCATGCTGGATATTTGAATATTGTCAGTGCCAACATTGTCTGTGTCTGGTTGATCGCCGCCGACCGGTGCAGCTAGAAACGCCAACTCGACTAAACTCATGCCTCATGCCCCTCATGCTTGAGACAAAATGTTGTCATACCATAGGTCATAGGCTACGGAGTATGCGGACGTGGCCACTTGGGCATTCGGACCCGCAATTTGCGGACAAACGACATACGGCATACCTAACACCTAAGACCTAAGACCTAAAACCCAAAACTTTTAAACTCAAAAACGCTGATGACTAGGAGGAAGGGGAGGGTGAGGACAAGGAGAAAGAGTGGGAAAGGATCGAAGGCGAGGGCATGCTGAGAATGCAAAGAGGCGGGGAGGAGGGATGGAGAAGGGAGGGAAGAGGGAGGAAAAAGGAGGGAGGATGAGGATGCGGATGCGGATGAGGAGGAGGGAGGACATACTTGACAAAACGAAGGGGGGGGCAGGATGAGGACGGATAAAGAAAGACCGAGGAGGGAGGAGGGGGCATCGCCCCGAGAGGTCCCATCGAAAGAAACGATGCGCAAGAGGAGCCGATTTCGATACAGGAAACGCCTCGGGCCCTCGGACTCGTGATCAGTATGGAGGCCCCCGCGCATGTCGGCGCACCCGTCACTCGCATGTCGTGCCCCCGTAGGAGACTCGGCCGAAAGCCCCAGTGGCCGCGGCCGCATGGGGAGCCGATTCCCCCTTTCCATTTCACATGCACTACGGTGCCGCAGTTGCATTTGTGGGGCTCGCTGCTAAGATAAATATCAAGCGCTCCTCCCCAAAGGGCCCTTCGACGGTAGCAGCGTAACATGATAGTGAAAAAGTCAAGCTTACAAAACCATGACATCTTGACCTTAAACCATGAACTTTACCCATGGACCTTACCCTGAAACCATGAACCTTGACCATGAACCTTACCCTGAAACCATGCACCTTGACCATGAAATGGGTGTCCTCCTAGATCGCTCTGTTGCGCCACCGTGCGCCGCCTCAAGTAGTAGTAGTAGTAGTAGTAGTAGTAGTAGTAGTAGTAGTAGTAGTAGTAGTAGTAGTAGTAGTAGTAGTAGTAGTAGTAGTAGTAGTAGTAGTAGTAGTAGTAGTAGTAGTAGTAGTAGTAGTAGTAGTAGTAGTAGTAGTAGTAGTAGTAGTAGTAGTAGTAGTAGTAGTAGTAGTAGTAGTAGTAGTAGTAGTAGTAGTAGTAGTAGTAGTAGTAGTAGTGGTGGTGGTGGTGGTGGTGGTGGTGGTGGTGGTGGTGTGTAGTAGTAGTAGTAGTAGTAGTAGTAGTAGTAGTAGTAGTAGTAGTAGTAGTAGTAGTAGTAGTAGTAGTAGTAGTAGTAGTAGTAGTAGTAGTAGTAGTAGTAGTAGCGGTACTAGTAGTAATAGTAATAATAATCGTCAACGACGATGACGACGAGGACGAAAACGAAAAGGATGACGTGGAGGACGAGGACGAGGACGATGACGACGGACGGCGGGCGGCAGACGGCGACAGCAGCGACGACGACAACGCACTGCGGATGCTCTATGGATAAGGGGCTGCGCGGGCCCGCTGCAGTCGACGACGACGGCGCGGACGACGAAGACGACGACGACGAGGACGACGACGACGACGACGGCGGCGCACTGCGGATGCCCTGTGGGGGGGGGTTGCTGCGCAGGCCCGGTGACGACGACGACGGACGACGGAGGACGGACGACGGACGACGGACGACGGACGACGGACGACGACGACGACGACGACGACGACGACGACGGCGACGGCGACAACGACGACCGACGACGACAACGACGCTCTGCGGATGGCCTATTGGGGGGGGGGAAGGGGGAGGGGTGCTGCGCAGGCCTGGTGATGACGACGACGACCCGAGCAAGGCGGGCAGTCCTCCTTTCCCCTGTGTCGTGGTCTCTTTAGTCGTCGACGACAACGCCGACGACGGCGACGGCGACGACGACGACGACGACGCCTGACAGGGGGAAACAATAGCCTCGGATGTGTACGACCCTACCATAACTTCTATACGGGAGGCAACCGTTTTGAGGCTGTCATGCAGGCGGGGTGCACGACTCCCCCGGCGGCGCCCGCGACGACCGCTGGCGAGCGAAATCCCACCAGCCCTTTGGGCGTGAGTGGTTTAAGGAGCCCTCTCTGTTCTCAACCCCCCTTCTTCCCCTTCGGGGAGGGGTCTCCCCCTCCCCCTACCCCCTCCCCCTGGGCCTGGAGAGGGGGCCCGGCGGGTCGTCAGAGGGGGTCAATTTCGACTCCTGGGAGGGCTAAAAAACGACGACCCTCACGAGGATTCTGGCCCCGACGGGGGGGCGGAGATAGGCCCCTCTGCTCTTCTTTGAAGCCAAAATCATTGATTTAACTACGGTGTTGGCCCCATTTTGGCCTCCTGAGGGGGCCGCGCTCATCTTCCTTCATAGCAAAATCAATGATGTTACAAAGGTTTTGGGCTCATTTTGTCCTTCTCAGGGGGCAGCGCTCACTTGCGCTTCTGAGGAGGTCGCACGAGGCCCCAAGATGGCCCCAAGAGGCCTCCAAGAGGCCCCCAAGAGGCCCCCAAGAGGCCCCAAGAGGCCCCCAAGATGCCCCCAAGAGGCCCCAAGAGGCCCCAAGAGGCCCCCAAGAGGCCCCCAAGAGGCCCCCAAGAGGCCCCCAAGAGGCCCCAAGAGGCTCCAAGAGGCCCCCAAGAGGCCCCACGAGGAGCCCGAACGACTCACACCAGGACGAGGGGCCCGAACGACTCACACCACGAAGAGCCCGAACGACTCACACCACAAGGAGGGGCCCGAACGACTCACACCAGGACGAGGCGCCCGAACGACTCACACCACGAGGAGCCCGAACGACTCACACCACGACGCGGGCCCCGAACGACTCACACCACGAGGAGCCCGAACGAGTCACACCAGGAGGAGGGGCCCGAACGACTCACACCAGGATGAGGGGCCCGAACAACTCACACCACGAGAAGCCCGAACGACTCACACCAGGACGAAGAGCCCGAACGACTCACACCACGAAGAGCCCGAACGACTCACACCAGGAAGAAGGGCCCGAACGACTCACACCAGGACGAGGCGCCCGAACGACTCACACCACGAGGAGCCCGAACGACTCACACCACGACGCGGGCCCCGAACGACTCACACCACGAGGAGCCCGAACGAGTCACACCAGGAGGGGCCCGAACGACTCACACCAGGATGAGGGGCCCGAACAACTCACACCACGAGAAGCCCGAACGACTCACACCAGGACGAAGAGCCCGAACGACTCACACCACGAAGAGCCCGAACGACTCACACCAGGAAGAAGGGCCCGAACGACTCACACCAGGACGAGAAACCCCAAACGACTCAAATCACGAGGAGCGCTTTCTCTCCCTCCTCCTCCGCCTCGTCCTTCTCCCGCTCCCCCCACAAGGAGGATGTACAAGGAGGCGGGAGGAAGGAGGAACAGGGGAGGTATGCGGGGCCAAGCGGACACACGCCTGAAACACACGACTGTCGGCATGCTTCGCAAGAGTTGCTGCTGTGAGATGGGCTGGTGGGGATACGCGAAGTGTAAAGAATTTAAAAAGGATGTCTCGCGCCCCGCGGGGTTACTCATCAGCCCCATGGGGGGTACGCATTTGTCAATCACAAGCTGACATTAGCAGCAGCGTCATCATCGGCATCCTGACATGCAGCGCCACCACCACCATCATGCCTCTCCCCCTCCTGTTCCAACTTCAAGTCGGATATCATAATACCCCCCATCCACCTCCGCCTCAGTTCGTCACTACATTATTACCCTCATCCATCCTCCCTCCTCCACCTCCGCACCCCTCTATCCCAACTCCTACTCCCTCCTAGATCCCGTCCCACACCATCATCCTTATTCGTCGTCCTTCCTTTCGTCCTTCCTCCGCCTCCATCGAGTGAAGCGAGTCGAACAAGACGCCCGAAACACCCACATCCACCGAGGTTCGGACCCGCGACGACGTCGGCGAGCAACGGCACCGCGTCCCGGGCCAGCACGGGACGGTGGCCCGGAAAGCTGAACGCCATCGATCTTCCCGCTTCCCACCGCGGGCCCACCCCATTTCCTCACCCCCTCGCCCGGAGCTCGCAGCCGCGCCGCCTTGCCCTCGCGGGAACCCCTCTCCTATCTCTCCTCGCCGTCGCCTTCCCGTGCGTCCTCGTCGCCGACGTCCTCCAACGACGACGCCGTCGTCGACCTGGGGCCTCGCGGGGCCCAGCAAGGAGCTGAATCCTGGATCCTCGATCGAATCGTTGCCGTCGCCGACGGCGCCGACTACGTGTCGGCGTTGGCGGCGGCGACGGGGGGACGCGGCGTTAGGGCTGCGAGGTCAGGCGCGGCTGGGCCCGCGGCGAGCGCGGCACCAGGGGCCTGGCCCAGGACTCCTGCCCACGCCGACTCGGAGAGGGGAAGGGAAGAGAGAGTAGGGGGAGGATCGCGGAGAGAGGAACGATGATCGAGAGACGACGGAGGAGAAAAGATGACGAGGAGGACAACCGGAGGAAGGAAGGGAAGGTCGAAGTAGAGGAGGATCGAGGGAACAAAATTAGTTATGGTTTCTGTACGTTATGGTTGTCTTTGGGGGGCGTTGTTGAGCCTCCCTGGGAACCTCTTCGGAGCCCTCCGCATACCTCCAGAAACCTTGGGGGTCCCGTGGAAGAGGAGGACGAGGAGAAGGATCGATCGAGGAGGGAAGATCGAGGGATCTCCACGTTCCGGCGCCCGCTCGGGCCCCCGAAGCCTGTGGAAGCGACGGTTTCCATTCACCGACATGGTCGCGGAGAGTTCCACCGCATGCGGCAATTCCGTCAGAGCAAGAAACGCATGCGCAGAGGTCGCCAGCGAGGCGCTCGGGCGAGGCGGCGCGCTGGGCTGAGCGCGCCAAACAGGCGCGCTACCCGGGCGAGCGCTTGACGGCGATTGCCGCGGAGACGGGGGGGCCGCCTCGGCGGAGAGGCGCGGGCCGGGGTCCTGAGCCACGTCCGGGACCTCCTGGGGGACGGGCAGCCCCTCGAGCTGGCGCGGGCTCACCGCGAGCTCAGCTGCGCCCTTCAGTGCCTAGGGCTCCCAACTTCGCGCTTCGCGCTGCGCGAAGCGCGAATAACTTCGCGCTCTCGCGCCGCCCTCCCAAAGGGAGAATAGGAGGACGAGGAGGAGGGGGAGAAGGAACGAGGACCGCGAAGCGCGAAGCGCGAATAACTTCGCGCCCTCGTGGGAGCCCTTGCAGTGCGGCCTGGCGCAGCAACTCTGGCGCGCTGCCGGGCTGCGCTGAGCGCGGGCGGCCAGGCGCTGAGCGCGGGCGACGGCGCGCGGCGCGGAGCCGGGCGGCCGCGGCCGGCGCTGGGCGCAGGCTGCAACCCAACGGCGAGCAGCGGGGCGGCGAGGCGCTGACGCTGCGGCGGGGCTGCTGGGGCTGCGGGGGCTGCTGGCGGCGACGGCGCGGGACGCGGGCCGCTCGGCGAGCCGGGCACGGGCCGCTGCCCGGGGCGCAGGGCGACTGGCTGGCGGCGCCGCGCGGGCCAGCCAGGAGCTGCTGCTGCTGCGGCTGCTGCTGCTGCGGCCAAGCTGGCCGCTGCGGGGGGCGCGGGCTGCGACGCGAGCAGGGCGCTGGCCGCTGCCCGAGGCGCGGGCGGCAGCGCGGGGCGACTGGCTGGCGGCGCCGAGCGGGCCAGCCAAGCGACGTCGGGGAGCTGGCCTACCTCATCCTTGCGGGGCTCGCCGTGCTCCCGTGTAACGGAGGGTGGTGGAGGCCCCGGCCGGCAGACCCCTCCCCCCTGGGAGTGGCCGCTACGGAGGAGTCTGCTGGGACAGCCGGCCACCCCCGGGGGAGCCGACCCCGGCTACGGAGGAGTCTGCCGGCTCCCGATCAAAGAGCGCCGGCCGCGCGGGGAAGACTCGCGGCCGCCTGCTGGAGGAGGAAGAGGAGGAGGAGGAGGAGGAGGAGGAGGAGGAGGAGGAGGAGGAGGAGGAGGAGGAGGAGGAGGATCGATCGATGAGGGAGGATCTGGGGATCTCCACGTTTTGGCGCCTCGTTGGCCCCCCCCGAGGCCTTGAGGCCCCTGAGGCCCTCGCGGAGAACTGCGGAGATCTCCCAGGGCCTCCAGGGGCATGCGGAGGCCCTCCAAGCACTAGGGATGGAGGAGGAGAAGGAGGAGGAGGAGTGGAGGAGGAGGAGGAGGAGGAGGAGGAGGAGGAGGAGGAGGAGGAGGAGGAGGAGGAGGAGGAGGAGGAGGAGGAGGAGGAGGAGGAGGAGGAGGAGGAGGAGGAGGAGGAGGAGGAGGAGGAGGAGGAGGAGGAGGAGGAGGAGGAGGAGGAGAGGAGGAGGAGGAGGGGAGGAGAGGGAGAAGGAGGAGGAGGAGGAGGAGGAGGAGACGGAGGAGGAGACGGAGGAGGAGGAGGAGGAGGAGAGAGAGGAGGATCAGGAGGAGGAACCGCCCCCGGAGGGGTGCCTCGGCGTGTAGGCGTCACCTCGGGACCCATGGGAACTCAATTCCGTCAAGACGTCGCCTGTGTAGGGGGCAGCGCTGCGGGTCAGGAACATCGGTGCCCTGACGGGCCTGGAGAGACCGCGCCCCTACCGCCGTAGTAGGGTCTGCCGTCTCAGGTCCGTCGGGGACCTGGCCACTGGGGCCGCGAGGGCACCCGTCCATGGGTCGGCGCGGGTCGGTTCGCCAGCGTGCACGGGCCCCGTCGGCGCGACGGCCTCTAGCTCCAGGGGGTCGCTGGGGTAGGCGTTTGGCCCTTCCAGCGGCCAAGACTGAACTTGCCCGCAGTGCTGCGCCCAGGCCGAGAACGAACTCGCACAGCGCGTGGAGCCCGTTTACGACCAGAGGGACGACATCGCCAACCGTGGCGCGCAGCATCTTACAGCCCAGCGCAGGACGACCGAACAACTGCACGTGCAGAAGGGCTTCAGAGGAAACTGTATAGATGGGAAGTGTACACCCTGCGAAATGCTTAAGAAATCATGGGTTAAGAAATTCATAGTCTCAGAATTTGAATAAAAACCCAGAACTTCTATCAAAATCCTGGGATTTACATTGAAACATTAAGAATAATCGAGACTCTGACCGAAAACTCAAGTTTTCTTAAGCATCGCCTAAGGTGTAGTGGGGGGTGGGTGCAGGCTGTCAAGGAGCTGCAACGGGCACTGATCGGCGCCCCTCGTGGAGCCGTCCAGCCACGAGTGCGGCGGCCACGCCTGCCACGACCCCCTGCTCCTTTTGCCCTACGAGGGGCACGCCAGGGCCGGACCGTCTCCTAAGGAGGGGGGGTCGGCCAGACGGGAGCCCGAGGAGGGGGGCGCAGCCAGCGGACCGCAGCGTCCACTAGCTGAAGGGGCCCCAGGACACACAAATAAATACACACAAATAAAAGTATTCCCCATATTTTCATCTATTTTCTGGGGTTTTTGTCTTCCCCACCACTTCCCATATTTTCTGGGAAATCGACGATTAATTGTGTCTGTGTGTTTCTTCCCCTCCTGACTAGCTGCTGGCAGCACCACCCCGACCGCCGGCGGCGGCCAGCAGCGGAGCCCGGCGACAAGGGTCGGCCGCTTCCAGGAATCCCCAGAGCGCTGACTGCAGCGCCAATCCCTGCGCCAACCAGACAGCCTGACCGGCCGGGAGAGCAAGGGCAACTTCGAAGGCCCACTCTCGCGGGAGGCATGCACTCACTCTGCCCCGTCCACAGGGCCACTGGCCTCCGCGGACGGGGGCGACTGCAACATGGCTATCAAGATATGCACACTCGTAGACACGGACCTCAGCTGTGAAGCGCTGCAGGACGGCTTGCAGCACAAGTCCGCAGTCCAACTCAAGAAACTGAGCATCAGCAGATACCAGTCGGTCGGAAGAAGTGGGTAGAAACATGAAGTAGGAAGGCGTTGGAAGTAGATTGGACTTCCGCCCGCCACCTGAAGAGGAAGGAAGAGGGAAAACCGCTCGATTCTTGACGTATGAAATCGCCAAAAGTAGGTTAGGATTTGGGCGTCCAGAAACACCTACTCCCAACGATTGGCGTGTGCGCTACTTCAGAGGATGGCCCCCGCTGCGACGAAATCCTGGTGTCGCCAACTATCACACCACGAACTCCCCGCCTATCAGGATCACTGGTTTCCCATACGCAGAAATTTCCTGGTAAGGTCCACGGCCTGACCTCACTAACCGACCAGGTAGCGGCATGAGTGAAAGAAAGCCAACCCGTATAACAAAGACGCGCGATCAGGATGGAAAGGCCTTTTCAGACCATGTCGACACTTTGCGAGCGGGGCGCGGCCAGCGAAAACGACTAAAGATGGGTCGAAGGCGAAGGATACAAGGGTAATACAGCACAGCGCAAACGCGGACAAGAGTGAGGGGGGGGCACGGGCGACGCGGGGTAGGGCGTGGGGAAGGGCGTGGGGTGGGTCGCGGGTGGGTCGCGGGTGGATCGTGGGCATCGCGAATGGGACGATAACAACTCAGCGCCGCGGAGGCCGCCTGCAGCATCGCACCCGGGGACGGTGCAAGACCGTTCGGCCTCCTCACTCTGACCTTGGAAAACGGCTCATCCTTACTATGCGGGTTAACTGGAAGGGACCCAAACGGGAAGGGCAACAGGACCGGAATCCAGAGGTCCGACATCTGCTACCAACCCGCCCACTTACGCCAGGCGCGGGACGTCTTCACCGAGGCATTCCACCAGGAAAACGATTGAACATCAGCTTTTGGTGGGGGACAGGAACGCAGAGGTCTGCCACATCATCAACGAGAGCGACGTCAAAATCCATCTCAAAATGAAATGGACCAACTGTAGCAACGGCGACCTTACGATTTCCCGTACGGCCACCAGGGGCAACACCGACGCGAACTTCCACCGGGCTGTACAGCCGGCTGGAAACCTCCTGTCGGACACGTACGACGGTGCTGTCGCTCACAAGAGAAGCCCAATGTCCGACCCCAAGCCCACAACCGCCAGTCCAGAGATGCAATTCTTACCAGCGCCGCAACCACGTCGTTCTGACGCACCAGAGGACCGCCTACCAGCCAACAATCTCCGCGAGAACCACATGTTGACAACGACCCGCTCTGCATCCTTGCGACCGCTGAAACTTGAGCCGAAGGTGAATGTGCGCAGAAACGGTTCCCCCGAACAGCAAATGCAACAGGGGGCCACTCGTGCTACAAGACAAAATTCTGAAATCGTGGCGTGCCCGGGCCGTGCGTGTGCCTGGATGTATCGATCATGATGTACCGTGCCAGAAGTTGTGGTGTGCTGTGCCATGCTGAATTCAGAAGTGCCAGGCCGCTTGTGGACCGAGAGGTCTTTAGCATGCGAATCCTAACCAAACTGATCTAAATTCTAAGCTCGAGCTGCCTGAACACATAGCTGGCCCAGAGCT